ATGCTGTTCTATCAAAGCTCAATAAAACAAATATCATGTATGGTATTTTGGGGTTTCTTACTGGCTCCGGCTGATCGTACCTCCGCATCCTCCTTTACTTATTTCGAAAACCATTTTAAATTCTCTTTTTGAAAACCCTCCTCGATTTGAGACTGGAGTCACACAAGTGTTCCTCCAATTCACTCAAACCAAGGCTCTGATACCAACTTGAAACGACCCAAAATTTCAATAAAATTTAAACTTTTCAAAAACATCCCAATTCATTAAGTTATTACAAAAAGGTTTTCAATACATTTATTATCAGAGCATTCCCAGGTTCATATCATAAAACATAAACGCGAGGAGCGGTACGATCACGCCTTCGACTTGCCACGGTCTCCTGAAGAACCTGAAAAAACATTAAACCACAACTGTAAGCCCGAAAGCTTAGTGAGATACCCCCAAAATACCAACAACATATACCATACACATAACATGCTATATCATAACGAATTGCAGAACAGGCATGCATATCGGTTCTACTGTGGGACTGGTCCGCCGCGTCGGGCCTTCAGTCCACCTGGTCCACCCACCGAGTCTAGTCATGTCCCTTGAGTCTGCAGTGTGGTTGGTCCGCCCACACCGGGCCTTCAACCCACCTGGTCCACTCTCTGAGTCTACAATATGATTGGTCTGCCCGCATCAGGTCTTCCGTTGGCCTGGTCCACTCTCCGAGCCTCGGTATGTCTGGTCCACCCTCGAGGGGCCTACAACCTATCCGGACCGCTCGCTGGGCCTTCGGAACAACCGGTCCGCCCTGGGTATCTTGGCCTACATCACGAAGCAGGACCTACTCAACCCAAATCCAGTCCAAACAACCATGTGCACATAAACATACAATCACATACAATTCATATTCAGTTAAACCGATCTAGCAGATCACATAACACAACATACTCTAACAGGATACCGACCTAATCGGTCACTAGCATAACATCATCCTATATACCAGGATACCGACCTTAACCAGGTCTCTAACGAATACCATCCTAACTACGCGGATGCAAACATATCAGTAATAACATAACAACAGATACCCGGATCTCAATCCGATAAAGGGCCGGCCTTGGTGCCATAGACCCTGTTGATATAGTGAGGATAACTCACCTCGCAACTGCTGATTGATAGGATAAGATCACGCTGTTGCAACCTCCGACCTGAACTCCAACACTGTCAATACCCAAAAGACTGAATCCAATAAATACCAATAATTACCAAATTACCCCTGGAAGTTAACTGGTCAACCCTTGGTCAAAGTCAAAGTCAAAGTCTACCCCTGACTAACTCTACTCGCCGAGTTAACCCGATGACTCGACGAGTCCCCATGGACAGAACTTCCTTCAATTCGCGACTTAACTCGCCGAGTCATCCCTTGACTCACCGAGTCACAGCCTCACCAAAAGAAACTTGGACCCTACGACCAAGCTCGCCGAGTCAAAGAACAGACTCGTCGAGTCTACGTCTATCTTCAACCTACTCGCCAAGTTGTTCTTCCAACTCGCCGAGTTCCAGGCCATCTTCATCCAACTCGCCGAGTTGTTCTTCCAACTCGCCGAGTTCCACTCTTTCTTCAAGCAACTCGTAGAGTCCATCCATGTCACTCGCCGAGTACCACCGGGTCTGAATCCATACAAAGGCTTTCCAAGCCATGCAGATGATCTAAACCATAGATCTACCCCTCCTAAGGCCATCCATCACGTAAAGTGGCAATCTTTACATGAATACAAGAAGATCTAGGCATTTTCACTCTAGGGTTTGGGTTTGGGACAAGATAGTTCCATCAATCTCTCAACGACAGGGACTTTTATGCATTCAACCCCTTCTCTATTCCAGATCTGAGGTAGCAACCTCAGATCTATCCTCTAAACTCCAATACATCAAAAGATATGATCTATAACACCTCTAAAAATGATGAATCTAGATAATAGCAACTCAAACAATGAAATAATACCTCAAAAGGAAGCTCCAAGAGAAGATTAATCCAAATCCTTGCAAAGCCCTTTGATCCAAGTCCCTTCTCCTTCAAGATTTCTTCAACAAGCACTTCTCCAAGCTCCAAATGCACTCCAATCCTCCACAATCACGTATCTAGGGTTTATGGACTTCAAGGGAGATCAAGGAGATTGGGGAGAGCGTATAATGTCCTTTAAATGGGGCTCATCCTCCGGATTTAGGGTTTTCTCCACCCAGAACCTACTCGCCGAGTCCATCTTTGGACTCGCCGTGTAGGCCACTTAACACGCGATCAAAGTCGAGACCCCACTCGCCGAGTCCACCCATGGACTCGCCGAGTTGCCCTTCAAATTTGCACTTTTATCCTTTCAACTCTGCTCTTGATATTCCGGGATGTTATAGTTCACTACTTGAAATTGATTTCGAAATTGGAAGTCGAGGTCCATGAAGGAATCAAAGTCAAATTTTGATGATGTTGTTGATTACCCCTTGGAATCGAATATATTGAAGTTAATGCTCTTTACATGACTACAAAGGTTTTTGATACTTAACAGACGAAATTGCTATTGGGAACGAGACGGCTTAGAAATATTTGACACAATGGTTTTGGATTTTGATTTCTATGGGTTGTTGATAACGGAAAAACGAAGTGTGATAATCGACTTGAGTTAATTTGATTTCGATGAAGTCTGAGTCAAGAAACAAGAGTCGCCTATGCTCATCGAGTTGCTGTGATGAAAAAGCGAGTTCGTGGTTCACTAGAAATCGTTATTTGAAGTCGATTGATGAACAGATGACGAAAAATCAAACAGATGGGTTTTGGTTTTGGATTCGTTAGTTTGGAATCGATGGGTTAGTGTTTGAAAGAATGAAAGTTTTTGATTTTGTGGTCCCTGTAATGAAAAGAACGAAGAATTGGGTTAAGATTCGAAGAAATGAATCTGTTGGAGTCAATGATTAAAGTGAAGGATTGTTTGGTTTCACATACGAAGGGTGTTTTTGGATTTATACGAATACAATGATTTAGATTAAAAAGGAGTATATTGAAAATTCGTACGAAAAATGTTACTGTTCATTAATGAGGCTTCATATGCTTCGAATCTTCAATACTTCAAATGAATTGAAAGAAAGCACAAAGTTTTGTAAACGGCCCCTGAACCTTCGAATTTTTGACAGTTCAAAAATGAACACAAGTTTCGAATGTTTGACACTTTTCACCCATATTCAAAAAAATTTGGAGCTTCGTATATTTTGGGCATGCTTCGTATGAATTGGGCACAAGGGCATAATTTTTGAAAATGGTCCCTGAAACTTTGAATTTTTGGCAGTTTGCACCCAAATTCGAAAAAGGACTAATTTTTGCTGGAAATCGAAGATTGTGCATTTCAAGACCATGCAGTTTGTGCAAATTGACGCTTTTTACCCAGATTTGGAAAAGAGGGAGAGTTTTGTGTATTTTGCTGTTTTGGGCGCAAAGGGTCACTGCAGAATTTTGAAATTGACAATTTCTACCCATTTTTGAGAAATTTTGTCAAAGGCAATCGGTGAATGACAATAAAATTGAATATTTTTTTGGGTATTCCGGATTGAAGCACAAAGTTTATGCCACATGTTAAGGGGGAGTTTTGACACAAAAAATTCTAAATAGAGCACGTTCTTTTTCCTTGGAGTTTTATAATCAAATTTCGATTATACAAAGGCAGAGAAGTTTTATATGGAAATTTGAATTTGAATTTTTCATATTACACGGATTTGAAGACCGAAGTGCTCTTGAAGTTTTGAAGCCACGAGATGATGCAATTGGAAGTTCGGAAGTGATGTATTCGAAATGGGTTTGGATTTATTGATGATTTTTGGGGTGTGTTTTTATGCATAACTTTTGGGTCATTATTTGGAGTTTGGAATACTCTTGATCATTCGTTGCAACTCAGATTGTATGGTCTCACATCCTAGAGCCCAAATTGAAGAGTCATGGAAGAATTGAAGATTGAAGTTTGTTTCGACATGTGACACCACCCTTCAATCCTGCTCGTTTTCTCCAATTCTTGATTCAGAACTTGTACTAAATAGGTTTAGGTTAACTGAAGAAGAGGTCTCAAGATTTAAACATGTTGTTTCAGAGCTTCTTTAGAAAGCAATAGATGTTAATGACTTAGATAGCAACAATCTTCATGCGGTGGTGCAACAAGTAGTGAATATAATAGAAGCTGCAGCAAGAGAACTTGAATGCCTTTTATTTGTTGTTGCTTCGAAGTTGCAGGAATTCTTTCTTTTTGCCAATATTGATGTTGAGGGAAATGCGTTTTTAATGAGTTGGTTGATGTTTGATGGTGTTTGAGAAAGATAAGGGTATCTCTATTTGGGCATGCAACTCAAGCTTATATAAATTACCTCTCACATTCATCTTCCAAGTTATGGGGTAGTCAAACAGAAGATCAAAAGAATTCTAGTTATACCTTGAAAGCTACACTTCATGTCGTGCATATTATCCTTAACTATGGGGTGGAGTTAAAAGCTACCCTTGAACCTGCACTTTCAACAGTTCCTTTGTTGGCATGGCAGGTGGGTGGGAGCCTTTTTGCTATTTTTATATCACAGTAACCTAACTAGTTCTATTATAACTAGTATTTTTTCCCTTTCTGTAGGAAGTAACTCTTCAATTATGTGCTTGGTTAAGCTCTCACCCTGAAGAAGATGTTACGAAACAGCTCAAGGGCATTTTGGTCATGCTGGCAAAACAATCTCCATGGTCGATAATTTATCCACCCCTCATTGATACTAACCCAAGTGAAGAGGATCCTTCGATGGAGCTTACATGAATATTGGCATCCTTAGTATGTGTGCCATATTATATATAATTTATGTGCTCTTTAACAATCTATTTGTTAGGATTTGATGATGACTAACCCAATATTAACCATTGTATATGCAGAACAAGCAATATCCAAGATTAGTCCAGGATCTCCAACTCATGATTAAAGAGCTAGAAACTCCACCATGAGTTGATGATGACTAACCCAATATCCACCTCACGTAAACCTGGAACACCTCATAAAATATGGTTCAACAATGAGCACATGGGACAAATCAAGTCAGTCATTTCAAACTTCAAAACTCCACCATCTGCTGTCACACTAGGGGAAGTTTGGAGACCATTGAATGGGAGTATGGGCGAGATAGTGTATATTTGGGTGGGGCAAACAAGTGGGGAAGATGATGATAACCTGTGGCAGATTGTTGGTGATAACTTCATTTTTAGAAAACGTCTGGCAACAAGCTCTATTGTTCAGGTAATGTGATGATTTGAAAAAGCTTCTAGAAACTAGTTTGCTTGTATCTTCAAGTCCCTATTGCTTATAATATTTTTTATATGAATGATTATGATGAACAGATAGTGAAAGAATATGAAGAACCAAAGCAACTATGGAAGCATCTTCACTGTTTCTCATTCCAGAACACATGAGAGATTATGATACTTATATTTTTAATTAGGAAACTTAGAGTGTTTTAGTTCAATTTTTTACTCCATGTTTGCTTATCTCTATAGGGCCACGAAATGGCCTTGACTTTGTGGTTCTTATTCAGGCTGTTTTAAGCAAGGAGGAGTTTGGTGTATTGGGACCTGATGATGATTGCTGGAGCCAAATGGGCTGCAAAGTCCCTTCTAATCAGGAGGTATGAGTTTACTAGTTACTAGTAATAGTTTACCTCAATATGTTTAACATAATTTTGGCATGATTTTTGAGTGATTCTAGACCTTGTATCAATAATAACGTGGTGCACGGTATTGTTTGATATACACTTTGTCTCGGTAATGTTGGCTTTTTGCAGTCAAATGGTAATGTATTTCTTTTATTTTTTTATTATACCATTCAGATTCTTATGTGGAATGAAATTGAAGGGAACGGAAATAATCATAAAGTATTTTATTTTTTTAAAAAATAAAAATATATATAGTTGAAGTTTTGAAAGTTATAAAAAGATTATTATGACTGAAAAAGGAAAATAATTTATAACTATAAATATGTGCAAGATATCAATATATCAATTTATAATTTATCCAAAAAACAATTAATTAGAAATGATGATGTAAAACTGTAGAACTAATCCTAAATAGAAAGTCAGAAACTAACTCATGATTTTTTCATTAGCAGTGAAATTATGCAAAAAAAATTGGTTTAAAAATTCAATTTGTGTTTTTGACTCCATGTTTATTATCATATTAAATAAAAAATTAATTACTATTTAACTTAATTTATAACAAGTAATATATTCGTATGTTGTTTGTAATACATAAAAAATATAATATAAGCATAAAAACAAATATTAATAAAATTAGATCAATAAAACTATATGAATGTTGATAGCATACCTTTTAAAGAATAATACATCAACTCATTAATGTGATAATGTTCTCTGCCATAATGATGAAATTGTTTTGAACATACCTTAGATATAAATCTCGTGTTTGATGGCTGGGAAACAATAAACGGAACGAATATTTATTATGATGAGGAAGTCAAAGATTTTTGGATTAAATCTAGATTTATTATTGTTTCAGTTTTGATTTGTATTTGTTTCTTTGACTTAGTTTGACTAGGAAGGAGATCTACCCCTATCATTTGTACAAAGAGATCTGGTAATTTATGAAATGCATGAGTCCAGTAAGACAGATTCTCCTGGTACTTACCTTGGTGTAGTGGACAAACTTGATCATTTAAAGGTACATGCTCAATAAATACATAGTTAATTTTTTCACCATCATTGCTATAACTATAAGGTTATATGTGTTTGAATGATTTTTCACTTTTACAAATCACAGAGCTTAATTGTTGCAATCAACAGCCCTAATCATCACATATTGAGAAGGGAAAAGAAAATAACTTCCTATTAGCTCTTGTTATTTTATGTGTTCAATATGTTCTTCCTATATATAAACATTAACTCTTTGTTGTTTTTTTCAAGTTTTTTTGCAGATATACAAGTGTTGCATTCTTCATTTCAATTGTTAGTTGCACTATTAATGATGGAAGTTGCTAATAAAATAAATGGAAGAAACTGCATGAAATAGATTTTTTATATGAAGCACAGAGTAGATTAGATGAATGCAAATTTATATATTGTAAGAAATAGAATTGTCTGACATTAAATTTTATGCAATGGATTGTATTTTTTGTATATGGGATTTTATTTCTATTATGAGACATTAAATGAAAATTTAATTAAAAAATTAATATATATATATATATATATATATATATACACATATATATATATTTTAAACATTTAAATTTACGATACGCAAAACTATGTGTCATCTTCACATATAACATGGCCTTTCTTAACATGGGTTTTAATGATACGCATTGCGTGTCATAAATGCGCGTTGTAAAAGTGTGTCGTCTCTCGTTATGACAGGGCATTCCTTGACACGCATTTGCGCGTTGTCTGAGCATTTTACGACACGCATTGCGTGTCGTAAAAGGCTGTTTTCTAGTAGTATAGGATAAAACAAAGACCAACTAAGACCAATTGTGTGAAGTGCTTGTCTTGATTAGAATCCGCACTAACTCTTGAATATTTGTTTGTCATGGAATGGTTCATGACAAAAGAATCTTATATGTCAAGAGGTCAGTGGGAGTCTTAAAGATCTTGACAAGTTTCAAGAACTAATCAAGAATAAACCTAATGTTAAACACTAGCACGCGACTTGAGGTTTGTAGCCTATCATGTTGACATATTCTTGTTTCTGTGCCCATTCCTGTTAAGGTTGACTATGCATGTGAGTTCTATGAGTTCTCAATTGTTTGCATAACTACTCGGAAGCAATGGTAGGCCCTTCTGTTGCCAAGAAATTATGGCTGAACAAGTTCAATCCATATGAGTTTGGATTTGTCACTAACCTTGTCTTGTGATTATGGTGATGACAAAATTCACATGGATATGAACACATACACCATAAAATCTAAGTTTCATAAGGTTTCTCTCCGATTCATGAAAATGATGGAGAGGAAACGCTTTCACTTAAGTAGATTTTAAGGGGATAGCGGTTGTGATATTTGCATTCTCAAATTTGATTATGATTACGACATCCCTTTTCATAATTTGAATTGTGAGAGATGGAAAAGGGTCTAAACATTTCAGATTTATAGTTGTAATTTCTGAAATTGTTTAGACATACATGTAAGCTATCTAAGGAAAGGTGTATGATTTTGAGAAGCCTAAATAAAGTCTTATCGAAGCATCTCGTATCAGAAATCTGAACATTGGTAAGAAAGTCAATGAAGTATTGATTTCTAGGAGTCTAACTGATTTCTGAGTACATGTAAATACTAGTGGGAGCATAAGTGTTATGCTAATAAGGATGTAATTATTATGCTAGTCGGAGCATAATCAATTATGGTGAATGTTGCAAGTTAGCAATGTTAATTATAGAAAATAAAAGTTTCAGTTTGAAAGATTTTAGGGAGAGCAATTCATACTTCATTTCAATTCTAAAAGCTTAGATTGAGATTTTAATCACGTTTAGTCAAACATATATATGAATTTTATGTTGGAATTGTTCAACATAAGGAAATTCTATATATGGAAAGGTTAATCCCATTCTCAAAAATTTTATTATGATTACGGCATCGCTCTTCATAATTGAAATTTTGAGAACATGGAAAATAGAAATATTATAGCAAAAGAATGATTGAGTATCATGTCTTTATGTTGGACATTATAAATCTGCTACAAACAAAATTCTTATGGTTACCTCTTCTACAGACCCATTGAGAATGTGGTCTTTGTGGCAAAGACAGGAATCTTTCGAGAAAGAGAGAATTTATAAGCCAAGGAAACAGTGGGAGGCAAATTGACATTGAAGAGCTTCAAGAGTCAAGTGGTGAAGGAACCTCAAACTCTATCATTCAACCCGAGGAGGAAACTCCTGTTAAACCAACCGACGAGTCTGTACCTCTGATGCGTTCCACTAGAGTTAGGAATCCACCTGGGCATTATTATGGTTTCTATATTACTACGGAAGGTGATACATTTATCAGTGATAGTACACTGGTAATTTGGATGAACCTAACAACTACAGGGAAGCCATGGTAGGCCCTGGGTCTACCCAATGGAAAGAGGCTATGGACAACGAGATTCAGTCCATGTATGACAATCAAGTTTGGAACTTGGTTGACAATGTACCGGGTCGTAAGACGGTCGAATGGAAATGGATCTTCAAGAAGAAGACCGACACGGATGGGAAAATGCACACTTATAAGGTGAGAATGGTTGCGAAGTGCTTCACTTAAACTCGGGGAGTTGATTATGATGAAACCTTCTCACCAGTAGCAAAGATTAAGTATATTAGGGTTATGCTAGCCATTGCTGCATTTCATGATTATGAAATATGGAAAATGGATATCAAAACCGCTTTCCTTAATGGAAAGTTGGCTGAGGATGTTTACATGAGTCAGCCATAGGGTTTTGTCAATGCAAAGTACCCTAATAGAGTGTGTAAACTTGAGAAATCCATTTATGGATAGAAACAAACATCTCGCAGCTGGAATCTTTGTTTTGATGAGAAAGTCAAAGAGTTTGGCTTTTCGAGAAGCGAATATGAGTCTTGTGTATTTGTCAGAGCTAGTGGGAGTATAGTTAGCTTTTTGGTACTGTATGTGGATGACATACTACTCATGGGAAATGACATCCCAACTTTTGCAGGAGGTTAATTCATGGCTTGGGAAGTGTTTCTCTATGAAAGACTTTGGAGAAGCTGCCTATATCCTAGGGATAGGGATATTGAGAGAAAGGAGTAAAAGACTTATTGGACTTAGTCAAAGGACCTATGTGGACAAAGTGTTGAAAAGGTTCAACATGCAGAATTCCAAGAGAGGTGACTTGTCGATCCAGCATAATGCCAAACTGAGCAAGGCTTAGAGCCCAAGTACAAAGGCTCAGATAGATGAGATGACTCGATCACCATATGCTTCTGTTGTTGGCTCGATCATGTATGCTATGACTTGTAGTCGCCCTAATGTGGCCTTTGCTTTGAGCATGGTCAGTCGATATCAGGGGAACCCTGGAAAGGCTCACTGGACTGTGGTAAAGAACATTCTCAAGTACCTGCGAAGGACTAAGGATTGGATTCTTACCCTTGGTGGGAGTGATAACTTGAGAGTAGTAGGGTATAGTGATGCTATCTTCTAGACTGATAGGGATTATTTCTGATCTTAGTTGGGCTGGGTCTTTACCATGAATGGAGGAGTGATTATTTGGAAAAGTTCCAAGCAGAAGATGGTAGTTGATTCGACATGTGAATCAGAGTATATATAGCAGTGAGTGAAGCGGAGAAGGAGGCGATATGGCTGAGGAGCTTCATCGGATACCTTAGAGTTGTACCCGCAATAAAGGAGCTTATGAAGATTTTCTGTGACAACAATAGTGCAGTTGCCTTAGCCAAGGAACCGAGAGATCGTGGCAGATCGATGCACATTGACAGAAAATATCACTTCATAAAACATAAGATAGAAGAAGGACTCCTTGTGGCAATGATGATATTGTCAGAAGAGAACCCAATAGATCCCCTCGCGAAAGGACTGACTAGGGTTAGGCATTTGCAGCATGCGAGGTACATCGGGCTGAAGGACTATATTAGTTTTACATATTAGATAACTTTGAAACATTTAAAATCTAAT